GGAGAGGACAGGAGAGGGGGCTGGGATGTGGCAGGGACAGGGAGTGAGCCAAGCCAGGCCCAGGATCGGGGCCTGTTGAGCTCCTCCCTTCCCCTGTGCCTGGGGTCGTTGCCCGGCGTTGGCATCCCCCACACCAACAAATCCGTTGTTCCCCACCCCCTCCACTCCTGACTGCCAGATGCAAAGCTGGCAGCACGGAGAAGTAGGGCTACTTGGGTGTGGAGAAGTGGTGCACGGTGGCAACGCGGAGTGATGGATGGCAGTGGCCCTGCCCCCCTCGCTTTCCAAGGACCCCTGCTTCTCTGTGCCACCCCCACATATCCCCTGAGACCCTTCCAAGTACTGGGGTACGTATACCCCCAGCTGACAACCCCTGACTTATACTCCTATAATACCACTGTTCTCAGTGGGATTGCAAATCAGAAAAGAATTTAGCCCAACCCATTAAAAAGAGTTTAATAGGGGGACCATGTCTGAGGTATCAAGAATACACTTTATTTTAGTGAAAAAATCATGTCAGTTTTGAAGTGAATTGTGTCAAGACAAAAAATGCAGAAACACAAGCCCTGTACAAGGGACAACAAACAGAAAATGATCATCAGAAACAATACCACTTACAGGACAAAAAACCATAAAAATACATCTTCATGAGTTTAGTTTCCATATGCTGTTAATATTTCAACTGCCTGGCTTGTTTGCTTAATTCTAGATTTCTAGGAACAGCTCTTCTGCTAACAAAACCTAAATTCTTTCATCAAGGAGTTCATCCAACGGAAGATTTTCAGCAAGTAAACAAAGACTGTCACAAAGTTTATGCGGGCAAAGAGTTTGCTTGACCAGTAGGGGTTACATACACTACAGGTAGATATCTGATAAGTTGGAACATTCACTTGAATCCTCACACTTGAAGTTGTATGCAAATTCATTCTTGGTTTATGTTATTGAACTTGACCTTACTGAGATTTTCTCCATAGGATTACAGCTATAACTGGTGTTCTGCAATAGCTGTACTGGAATACCTCCTCATATAGACAATATTTCTTTCCAAAACAGAAGATCCACATGAGGAGCTATGCTGGTATAGCTACTACTGAATAGCCTTTTCCACATTAAAGATGTTGGCCAGTTTCCCTGTCTGGACAAATCAAAAGGAACGGAAAAAATGAAGCAACTAAGTAACTCTGTTCCCAGAGAAACATGTTTATGACATCTCATGATTTTCACTAGAACTCTGTGAATACTATTTTAATATATTTCCTGGTCTCTTTACATAAATAATAAGGTTCATTTGTTTATGATTTCAACCTAAATATTAACTTTACAAAATAAAAACTTCTGTTATTTTTGCCAAGTTTGAATTCTCATTTCTTCGTTAGTATTTTTCCATAATATATTAATAAAAAATAGTTATTCTTCAGTATTTTAGGCTTCTTTATTCTCCCAGTATCTTATAAGGACAAACTTAAATGTTACTCTGGTGTAAATCCAGAACAGGGGCGGGCAATTATTTTGGGAGGAGTGCCACTTACTGAGTTTTGGAAAGCCATTGAGGGCCGCATGACAGAGAGCCATGGGCAGATAAAGATTAATTTTCTAAATATTTTTAGGGGCCCAGCAGGCTGGCAGGTCGCATCTGGCCCACAGGCCGCATATTGCCTGCCCCTGATCTAGAACAACTACACTTAATTCACTTGAGCTGCTGTACGCTTCATAAGAGCATAACTTATCAGAAGAATATGAGCCAGGGACAGACATACTTTCTACCCAAATTAGAATTTTTAACATAAGCACTAAAGTCCTGTTAGTTAATTGCCAAGTTAATACATATGGCTTATGCATTTATGCTCATATAATATGTCTGTTCACAAGCTCATGAGATCTGAGTATAAGGATAGCCATGTCAGTGGCAGAGCTCTAACATACCTAACAAATCTGCAAAGAGAATATTCATGTGACAAAATGTATCCAAAACTAAAAATTGAACAGCAATGCCCTCCTAGTACAAAGTAGAAAGACAGAAGACCAACCTCTTTGAAAATATAGAAGTTAAGTAGAACCATTCCAAAATTGTAGAAAACCAGCATGTTGCGCAACTGGAAAGGTTCTCTTTTCTTCATCCATTTGGGGCCCAGCCAGACAATGAGGAGGTATAGAGTGCTTATAATCAGTGTCGGAATTGGGGACTGCATCAAGGGCCAATTATCAACACGTTTATCTAGTGAAAAGAAAAACAAACAGTAAATTAGCCGAGATTAGATGCGTCCCTCCCCCCGCTTGAAGTTTAAACAAAAGATATTTCACTGTAATTTTAGGTATCGCATTTCTTAATGTCTTTTAACTTCTGCTCTATCTGGTACTGATAGCCAGCAGTGCTCAGGCCTACAAAAAGCAACTGCATCACTGGTTATCAGAAAGTGTAGTCACATTATTATAACAAAATAAATTAGCACTGCTGTATGGTTATGGTCAAGTAGAGGTAACTGAAGGTAGCAAAACGAGACAACTCAACATTTAATGATTTACTGTATTTACTTGAGTCTAAGAGGTTTTTCCACCCCCAATCAGAATGTGGGGGAAAGGCTCTCATCTTAGATTTGCGTACAAAGCCAAAGTCAGGGGGAGGGGGGCAGAGAGCTGCTGCAGCTCTAACTCTGGCCCTGAGCCTGGGTCAGAGCCAATCAGACCCACAGCAGCCTCTGGCCCCCTGCACCACGTCCTCTCTGCACTTCTGTCCCCTTGCCTCTGTCTCCTTCAGCCCCTTTACTGACAGGTGCGGCTTGACTCTGGCTCAGGCTGCATTTCCTCCTGGGCACAATGTACATGGAAACTCTGTCCCCTGCCCAACACCGCTGCATGGCTGGCAGGGTCTTCACTTCCATGTGCTATGCTCTGGGAGGGAACAGACCCTGGGCAGGGTCCGACAGTAAGGGTGGGGTGAGGGGGAAGGGAAGAGGCAGAGACTGAGACTGTGGGGAGCCAGTGGGAGGGAAGGGGCAGAGGCAACGGGGAGCTGGGAGCGGGGGCAGGAAAGCTGCAAGAGGAAGAAGTCAAGGAGCAGAGGGCAAGGAGGGTACCTGACTCCCCCCGCAGCTACTACTTTCTATGCTGTAGTGGTGGGGGTAGCCAAATTTAAGACAACCCTGTGA